ACCCATTTTTCCAATTATTGAGACAATTCTATGATATAGGTACTACCACTAGCCTCATTTAAAGTTTTTACATTTTATTTGTAATAATTTGTGTGTGTGTGTGTGTGTGTGTGTGTGTGTGTGTGTGTGTGTGTATGTATGTGTGTCCTACTGCAAGCATGTGGAGGTCAAAGGACAACTTGTAGGAGTTGGTTCTCTCCTTCTATCATGTGAGTTCCAGGGATCCAATCCAGGTCACCAGGCTTGGTGGTAAGTGCCTTTACCCTCTGAGTCATCTCACTGACCCTGGCTAACCTCAGAGATGAGAAAGAAGGGTCTCTGTGAAGTGAAGTAACTGATCCAAGGCACAGAGCTCCAAACTGCTATATCCTTCTGTGTTGGACAAATGAGTGACTAAATAGTGTCTCTCAGGGACTAGGGAGATGGCTTTCAAAAAGACCAAAAATAAACAAATAATAATGTAATTACAGTGCATGCCTGTAATCCTAATGCTGGAGAAACAGGAGGATGCCTGGGGGCTCACTGGCCAGCCAGTTTAGTTGAATCAGTGAGCTCCATTTAAAAAATAAGGTGAAAAGTGATTGAGGAAGACACCCCGTGTTAACCTCTGACTTTCCACACCCACACCCACAACCATGTCCACGTATACAGAAAATGGTATCTCTCACAGAGAAGTGGACATTTCCTAGGGTTTTCAGGAACAGATGGGTGAGCAGTCTCCACATTAGTTAGCAAGTTCCATTCCTTCTTCACCAGCCCAGCACTGTACTAGCTTTGGCACAAGTGCAAGTAGGACAACCTCACACTGTACAAACTACTCCTGGGACACAGACTGCCATAATTTCTGCCCTTGGAGGGGTAGCTGTAGGGGCTGAGGGACAGTTGACATGCACAGATCCCTTTCTCAGCCTCCTACCTTAGGTGACACTGGGCCCAGCCCTAATGGATCATTAGGACTTACACAGGGTGAAGAAGGTAAGGGAAGCTGGTCAGTGAAAATACAACAGTGAGCAAAACAGGCTCTTGTGGAGTTTACTGTTTAATGGAGGAGACAGACTTAAGCAAATAACCACCTATGTGTGCAATTAAATTAACAGGTATTGTGTAATAGGCATTATGAAGAAAGATTGCAAGGTAATGTAAATTTATGATGTACGGTGGGCTGATCTAACGTAGCGAAGGAAAGCCACTTCTGAGGAAAGGACATGAACTTGGATTTGAAAGATAAGTCAGTAGAGCATGGAGTAAGGGCAACCAGGTAGAAGGAACAGCATGTGCAAAGGTCCTAAGACAGGAGGGAACAAGGGGAGTTCCAGGAACAGAAATGCCACTAAAAGTCTGGAGTGCTCGGGTGTAGGCAAAGGAAGGGATGAGAAGAAGAGATAGGCAAAGACTTTGAGGGCAAACTAAGAATTTGGACATCACATTTAAAAAAAAATTTTTTTATGTGTATGAGTGTTTTGCCTGCATGTATGTAAGTGCGCCCATGTCGTGCAATGCCTGCAAAGACAGAAGAGGCCATTGGATCCCCTGGAACTGGAGTTATAGACAGAGTTTAGCTGCATGTGGGTGCTGGGATTCAAACCTGGGTCTTCTGCAAGAACAACCAGTGTTCTTAACAACTGAGCCATCTCTCCAGCCCCTGGACATCACATTTTGAAATGGCTCAGTAGGTAAGGGTACTTACCACCAAGCCCATGTTTATAATCCCAACACTTGGGAAGTTGAGGCAATTTTTGAGTTCAAGGCCAGATTAGACTACGTGAGACTCTGTCTCAAAACAAAAGATAAAATAAAACACCAAAGTAAAACCAATACCAAGTGGCTGGAGATAGATGGCTCAGCTCTTGCAGAGGACTCAAATGTGGTTCCTAGTGCCTAGGTGGCTAACCACCATCTTCAATTTAGCTCCAGTTCCAGGGGATCCAACACCCTCTTCCAGGCTCTGTGGTTATTGCATGAATGGGCACACTTACATACATTCAGGCAAAGCATTCATACACATAAAAATAAAATTTAAAAATCCTCAAGTACCAAGCTGGGCAGGACGGCATAGGCAGGCTTGTAATCCCACCACTCAGGAGGCTAAAGCTGGTAGGTTTGTCAGCATTATGGGGAGCAGAGGCAGGGTGCACAGCTCTCAACTGTCACCCTCTGCAGCCTGAGGTGTTCCCTAGAGTTTTAGAGACCTAGAATCAGGCCAAACCAGGATTATTAGCTTTGATACAGGCAAGAATTTCAGAACTAGTTTATGAAGCAGAGTTTGGGTTTTTTTTGTTTGTTTGTTTGTTTGGGTTTTTTTTTTTTTTTTTTTTTTGGTTTTTTGGAGACAGGCTCCCCCTGCCCCCCCAGCGGTCTGGAACCCCACTATGTAGCCCAGGTTGGCCTGGACCCCAAAGAGCCCCCCCTGCCTCTGCCTCCCAAGTGCTGGGATTAAAGGTGTGCGCCACCACACCCGGCCAGTTTGGTTTTTTAAAAATATTTTATTTTTATTTTTTGTGTATGGGTGTATTGTCTGCATGTCAGAAGGTGCACCAGTGTTGTGCAATGCCTGAGGAGGTCAGAAGAGGGTGTCAAATCCCCTGGAACTGGAGTTTATGGACGATTGTTAGCTGCCGTGTGGGTTCTGGGAATTAAACTCGGGTCTTCTGCAAGAGCAGCCAGTGCTCATAATTGCTGAGCCATGTCTCCAGCCCCCAGAGTTTGGGTTTAATAGTTATTTTAATATAGGCTGAAGCACAAGGGTTAAGAGAAAGAGGTGCTCAGAAGAAAGCAAAACATACCCATATATAGATTATGGTGGAGTTTGACATTATCTTCAAAAGACTGTCATAAAATTTAAACAAGGACTGGTGAGCTAGTTCATCAGATAAAGGTGCTTGCCATCAAACCTAGTGACCCACATAAAGGTGGAAGGAGAGAACCAACTCCACAAAGTTATCCTCTTACCCACACACAAGTGCTGTGGCACATGTGCCCATGCACACCTCATGCAGACACACAATAATTTTTTTTCTTGGTCTTTTTGAGACAGGGTCTCCCTGTAGCCTCAGCTGGCCTGGATCTCGCTATGTAGACCACACTGGCCTTGAACTCACAGAGATCTGCCTGCCTCTGCCTCCCCAGTGCTGGGACTAAAGGCATGTGCTACTACGTCTGGCACACAATAATTTTTTAAAGGAAAAAAAAAAAAAACTAAATGAGATCTCTGGGTGGTGCCTGACTGGCACCTGTCAGATTACTATTGATAAGATCCCCAACATGTAGGAGGGTAGACTATTGTAAATAGTTTTGAGATTCTTAGGCATGTCTAGAAAAAGGAATGAAGCCCTACCCAAGGTCACACACATTCAGGCTTTAAGCCTGGTTCACTGTTACTTTACATAAAATACCTACGTATGAAAGGAATGCCAACTTTATGTCAGAAGTCTTTATAGCCAATGTCTTTAATTCCAATGCTAGAATTGTTACTTCTTAGTTGGTGAGAAACATCAATCACACTCTGAGATGAGGGACTCCTTTACCTTCCCATGTCCCCATAATTTTTCTTTCATCCTGTCTCAGGATCACAGGTTCAAGGCCACCCATAACTATATAATACAGCAAGTCCCTGTCTCTAAAACAAGCACAAAAACAAAAAACCTAGGGCTGGCAAGATTGCTCAGTGGTTAAGAGCACTTGCTGCTCTTCCAGAGGACCTGGGTTCGGTTCCTGGCACCCACAGCAGTGTCTCACAACTGAGATCTGATCCCTCCTCTAGCCTCCACAGGCACCTGCACACATGTGGCATACATACACACAGGCATACACATAAAAATGATAAATTCAAAGCAAAACAGTCAGGCATGCTTTAATCCCAGCACTCAAGAGGCAGATATAGGCGGATCTCTGTGAGTTGGAGGTCAGCCTGGTCTATACAGTGAGTTCTAGGCCTGCTGGGGCTACATAGAGTATCTCAAAAAACCAAACCAATGGGGCTGGAGAGATGGCTCAGCAGTTAAGATCACTGACTGCTCTTGTAGAGGACCCACAAGGTGGCTATGAACCGTCCTTAACTCCAGTTCCAGGGAAATCTGAAGCCCTGTTCTGACCTCTGCTGCACTGCATGATACGGCTGCACTCACATGCATGCAGGCAATACACTCATACACATAAAATAATAATAAATAAAATATTAAAAAAGCAAACCAAAGCAAACCAAGCAAAAAAACAAAAAGTCAAACCAAAACAAAGCCAAGAAGCTAAAGCAAATCAACCAATGAAAAACCCTGAAAAAAAACAACCAACCACCCCCTCCCCCGCAAAAAAACCAATATACAACTCTGGTTACAACTCAGACTAGACCAAGTAGCAGCCCTGTTGTACTCCAGGACAAGGAACGAAGGGAGCTGGGTTCTACAACATCATGGAAGACATGGATAAATAAGTTGACTGTGAGTAAATCTGCTATCTGCTCCCCGACATCCCAGTAATAGCACAACTTGAGCCAGGAGGCGGGGTCTAAAAGAAGCTAGGCTCATCTAGGATGGGGGCTGCTGTATGCGCCTGGTGTTTTTTTTTCCTGGAGCACAGCTCTTCAGAGAAATCCTCTGCTTGACATGTCACCCGTGTCCTTTGCCCCGGGACTTGCGTGGACTTCCCAGACTTGCCCCTCTAGGACACAAAGAGTTACTAAGTTTCCTGCCGGTCTATCACTTGGGAATTTAGAACAAACACGAATTGGAAGACAGGCAGGCAGCAGACTGAGAGGAAGTTGGCTCCTGCTTCCAGCTCCCCAGCCCCGCGCCCATGGGACCCCTTAAAGCCATGACAGAGGATGCAAGGGGCTGGGGACATGGCTCCGTGGTACAGCCCATCCCCCTACTCATAAGGCTCAGGGGTCCATCCCCGGCACCCAAGGAGAAGGGAAAGCCTACCAGACGCTTTCTAGAGGGGCTGGGTAGAGGGCGGAGCGGACCTCTGTGACGTCGCAGGGCTACGCCCCCCAGGACGCTGCGCCTGCGCCAGAACGGCTGCTTGCTCCCGGAAGTGGAGGGTCTACAACAGTGCGCCGCTGGGTCTGAGTGACCGAAGTCAGCAGTGCTCGCGGAGTTGGCCAGCTGGTCCCGGATCACCATGTCGGCCTTCGACACTAACCCCTTCGCGGACCCGGTGGATGTAAACCCCTTCCAGGTAGGGACCCCCAACTCACATTTCTCTTTAGGGTCAAGGGCCGCGGCCCGGGCCTCTTTCGCCAGAACCGCGAGACGTGGCGAAGGAGGGACAGATCATCTGCCCAATGGGAGAGCGGGATCTGAAGGCTGACCTAGCATCGTGTGTATGGGGGCGGGACGTGCAACAGGTGGAACTGCGGCGAGGGGGCGGGGCGCTGTCGCTCGGAGAAGTGGGATCTTCCAGCACCCAGGGACTTGGGTAGTGCTAGAGGAAAGGACTGCTTGCATGCTCGGATGCCTGGGAAGACTCCCTAGCATCGGGAAGGGAAGCGAAATGTGGCAGTGGCATTCCTGAAGTCATGAGGAGACACCTGTCTTGAGTCATCTTAGGAGACAGGGTGATACAAACTTTGAGGAAGTAAAAGGCTAGTGGCATGGAGAATGTGGAGACAGACCAACACCCCCCACCCCCTCCCCCACCCCCTGCAACCGGCAACCGCAGCAGCGAAACTAGCATATAAAGTATAGGAGAGTCCCGAGGTTTTTTTTTTTTTTTTTCTTTTTGAGACAAGGTCTCCCTGTACCCCAGCTGTCCTGGAACTCACTATGTAGACCAGGCTGGCCTTGAACTCACAGAGATCCGCCTGCCTCTGCCTCCCGAGTGCTGGGATTGAGTTTTATCAAGAAAAGAAGACTGGGAGAGGGTAGGAGAATAACCCACGCTGAAAAATGGCCTGGATAAAAAGTTGCACACCTTGGCTATGAATTTTGTTTGGAGAGTCCAGGTTAGGATGTGAAGGGGTTTAGCAGGGTCTTGAAGCACAGGGACTGTTATTCAGCTTACGATCTGCATGGGTAAGGTTGCTGGGCTGACCTTTGGAACACCCGGGAAAGCAACAGTCTCCTGACTTAAAGTCACAGCCTTTGAATGGAGAACACAAGCATGCCCCCTTTTCTCTGCTGAAGAGCTGGAACCTTGTTGGCCCCTAGGCCCTGGGGCCTTTTCTTTCATGTCTGCTCAAAACCAATTTGAGGGAAGCTTGCTTGTGCTGACTAGTGATTTATGAGCCTGGCTGCTTCTCCTCTGTCAGGATGTCACCAAGCACATGATATCACCCTGCTGCTGGTACTTTATTTTGGTCATCTGCAGCTTCAGAGTTTCCTGCAGATGTTGAAGTCCTTGAAAGAATCCTCCTACCTTGAATCCTTTCAAGGATCAGTGCAAAGGCGAAGGAGACTTAAATCATTACACTGTCAGAAGAGTAGAATTTGTTTTTTGCAGTACTAGGGATAGAACTAGGTCCTTACACATGCTAGGCAAATACTGTACCCCTGAACATGTTTGGGGGGGGGCTGGCACCAAGCTCTATACCTTGATTTCTTTGAAACAGGCCTCTGTGTGGCTCAGACTAGCCTTGACTTCCCTCTGTATCCCAGGCTGGCTTTGAATGTGCAGTCCTTCTGCCTCCCCGTCCTTCTTCTGGTAGCATGTGCTACCACACCTAACCCAGCTGAGAGTAGAAATTTTATGTTTCTTGTTTGGTCTCAAGGTGACCTAGCTGATAGGAGCCCTCAGGCAAATGTTGGTAGCTCATTCCTTATAACATTGGGGAATTCAGAGTATTCCTTTTTTGCGGAATGCTTCTTGACATTTTGACAGAGCCTTTGCTGGCCTGGAACTTGCTATGTAGACCAGGCTGTCCTTGAACTCACAGAGATCTGCCCGCCTCTGCCTCCCAAGTGCTGGGATTAAAGGCCACCAGGCCCAGCCTTGTTTCTTACATAACATAAAAACAGACTTCTCTATTGAGCGAGGAAAGACTATTTGCATTTTTCTTGTTATTGTTTTCTGGTAACTGTTGATTTAATGATAAAACTGCTCTATAATACTGGCGTTTGGGTTTTTAGCAAAGATCCACTATCCTTTTGGAATGTGTGGTATGTAATGATGTTCCTTTCTTTGGTTTTGTTCTGTCAGAATCAATTAAAAATTTGCTGACATCAGAGGCAGTCCACTGTCCACAGTTTCAGCCAGGCTTTCTCCAGTGCTAGCAGTGAGCAGGAGGATGGTCCCGTTCTGGTTTTTTTTTTTTTTTTTTTTGGGCTTTTTTAGACCGGGTCTCCCTGTAGCTCCCGCTGTCCTGGGACTCCCTATGTAGACCCGGCCGGCCTTGAACTCACAGAGATCTGCCTGCCTCTGCCTCCTGAGTGCTGGGATTAAAGGCGTGAGCCACCACGCCCGGCCTGGTCCTGTTCTGTTTTAACAGTAGCTCCTTGGAAGTCTTAAAGCACATCTCTGGCCCCAGAAATGATTGTGCAAACTGAGAAAAGTAACTTCTTTGTTCAAACAAGATAGTCTGTCCATCAGCCCCAGGATATTGTGGGACAGGAAGCAGCTGTTGGCCTGCAAACCAGCAACATCTGGAGGAATGTTGGGAAATGTGGGAAGAGGCAAGCTTTGCTGAGTGTGTTATGCTCCCCCTCATCCTGGGCTGACTTTTCATTCTTGGCATGAAGCTGTGTGGGGGAGAAGCAACTTTGGATCTGAGGACCTTAGCTGCTTCTCCTGTCAAAGCTTCCCTCCATTCCCTTAGGATAGAAGTGTGCACTGCCTTGACTGTCCTGGGACTTTGGAAGGGTGCAGCCCTTGAGTGACTGGGTGTGGGCCCAGTTTTATTTGCTCAGGGTGTTGGCTCAGAGCTCAAGTGAGAGCAGGTGGAAAGGCGATAGACTGTCATACCTAGTCCATCTTGAGAACTTTTTTTTTTTTATCACGCCATTTAATGGTGGATTCCAAAAATATACTTAGTGTTTGGAGTCTGTGGTTGACTGTTAGAACTGGGAACATTCTTGGAAATCTATTCTAACATCTTCAGCATTTCAGAAGCCAAAACCTCACTGAGGGTGGGCCATACTGGAGTCACCAGCAGCATGCCAGAATTAGCATCAAGAGGGACCCAGACGTGGGTCTTGTTCCCAGAACAGTGCTGTTTTAAAGACTGTTGAATCTCGTACATTTGTGTTTAACTGCCTACCGGTTATTTTAGGCCAGCTAAAGAAAGAATTTGACATTATCACCCTTGACATCTTTGTTTTGTTTTGTTTGTTGAGACAGGGTCTCACTACTTAGCCCTAACAGTGATCTGAAACTTGCAGTAATTCTCCTGCTTCTACCTTCTGAGGGTTGGGATTATAGTCCTGGCACAGTATCCTATAGTCCATCCTATGGTATCCTTGTCTTTTTTTTTTTTTTTTAATGTTTATTTATTTTTGTGTGTTTTATGCATGCAATGCCTGTGGAGGCCAGAAGAGGGCGTCGGGATCCCCTGGAACTGGAGTTAGAGATGGTTAGTGGCTATGTAGATGCTGGGAATTAAACTTGGGTCCTCTGCAAGAACAGCCAGTGCTCTGAACTGCTGAACCATCTTCCCAGCCCCATCCTTGTCTTTCTTGAAATGAATCCAGGTAGTGGTGAAAGTAACAAATTAGCATTAGCTTAGCTTTTCAAAATGTTTTACACTTATTTACCATGTATGTGTGCATATGACAGCTTTCAGGAATTGGTTCTCTCCTTCCAACATGTGAATCTCAGGAATGGAACTCAGGTTGTCAGGCTTGGTGGGAAGCATCCTTACCCACTGAGCCATCTCATCGGTTCTTAGCTTGAGGGGATGGAATAGTACAGATTTTATAGATGTTTTGTTTTGTTGCTGAGGATTGAACCCAGGTCTTGAGCATCTAAGCATGTCCTTTACTTTTTGTCTTTTTTTTGGACAGAGTCTCTCTGTGGCCCCAGCTGACCTAGAACTGCCATGTAGACCAGTCTGGCCTCAAACTCCTAGAGTTCTACCTTCTGAGTGCTGGGATTAAAAGCATGCATCACCATGTCTGACCCCCTTACAGTGTTTTTAAAGACAATACTTTAAGGCACTATGGTTTGAACACCTGAAAGATGCTCAATGTTCTGTGGTCTCATAGGTTTGAGAAATTCTTCCCTATTAAATTTTTCTTGAAAATCAACAAGGCTTGTTAGTTTGTTAAGCTCTGAGAAACCTTGCAATGAAGACATTTCGCCCAATATTTCTCAAAGTTGCTCAATCACAGAACCCTGTTTCTGCTCACTCTCATAAAATCCAGTGAAACTTTCAGTGTATCTTTGAAGTTCACTTCCTTATACTAGTTCTGTGTGTGTGTGCGTGCGTGCATGCATGCGCATGCATGCGCTTATGCACATGTTCGTGTATATGCAAGTATATGTGGAAGTCAGAGGACAACCTTGGATGTCATTCTTCAGGCACTAGCCACCTTTTTTTTTTTTTTTTTCTTCTTTTTAAACAGATCTCTTCCTTGCCTAGAACTTGAAAAGTAGGCTGACTAGCAAGCCTCAGGAATCCACTTGTCTCAATCTCCCCAGCACTGGGATTACAAGTGTGTGCCACTGCATATGTTTTGCATTTTCTTTTTTTTTTTTTTTTTTGGGTCAGGGTCTTCCTGGGAAATGGAACTCACTATGTAGACCAGGCTGACCTTGAACTCACAGAGACCTGCCTGCCTCTGTCTCCCAAGTGCTGGGATTAAAGGGGTGCACCACCACTCCCCGCCCAATGGTTTTGTTGTATAAGATTTATTTTTATTTGTATGAATACCTGTGTGTCTGTTTTCATGTATGCCTTGTGTGTGGTTGCCTTTGGAGGCTAGAAGAGGGCATTGAATCCCTTGGAGTTACAGGCAGTTGTGAGCTGCCTGATATGGGCGTTGGGAACCAATCTTGGGACCTGTGGAAAAAGAGCAAGTGCTCTTAACCACTGAGTCATTTCTCTGGCTCCTACATCTCCTTTTAAAAAAATATTATTTTTATGTACATGAGTGTATTGCCCTGCATATGTGTAAGTGCACCTGTGTTGTGCAGTGCCCATGGAGATCAGAAGAGGGTGTCAGAATCCCTGTAACTGAAGTTATGGATCGTTGTTAGCTGCCACGTGGGTGCTGGGAACCAAACCTGGGTCCTCTGCAACAGCA